TTAGGGTTTTAGAGTTAGGGCTTAGGGTTTAGAGCTGGGGTGCCATACTAAACCAGAAAGGGTTTACGGCCTAGGGCTTAGAGTTAGGGTTGAGGGTTTAGGGTTTAGGGTTCAGGGTCTAAAACTTAGAAGTAGGTAACCCAATAAGGGAGATTTCAGACTACCCTGAACTCCAACAAGGGCTTAGGGTTATGCGTAGGTGAAACGCTACTATTCCCTACAAGCCCAAGACCCAAAACCGTACAAAACAACCCAACTCTCTAAACCCAAAAACCCTAGCCCCTGAAAATCCTAAACCCTTAAGCCCGAAAGCCCTCAACCCTGAAACCCTAAACCCTTGAACCCTTAAGCCCCAAACCGAGCATCAGAAACTTCGTGGCCGCAGGACTCTGCGCGAAGCTGCGAGTGGGTGGCGCTGCCTCAGCCTCATGGACGGCCGGGTCCTGTGTGCAGGGAGAGAGTTCAGGGTTTAGGGTTTAGAAATCCGGGTTTAGGGTTTAGGGTTGTTTTGGGTTTGTGTTCGAGTTTTTAATGCGCTTCTTGATGTCATGGCTGTTGCTGCCGATTCTCTCCTTACGGCTGATGGACAAAATCCTGCATGACCTTATATACCTAAATTATGGGATTTATTGTACTTTACTATATTTGGGTCATGCAGAATTTTGTCCATCAACCGTATCATCCTCCTGATGCTGTTTTACTGTCGCTGTCATCACTACGGCCGTATAAAGTCCCACATCATCCGGTCGTTGAAGAAGGTTTCAAGCCTGCAAATCCTAAGCTCCTACCTTAAACACTTAATGTGGGGGCCTTATAATCAGAACAGGGTTTGGGGATATATTATATTGTAGTTATAACAAGGAGCCCCCCAAAATAGTCTAGGTAATTATTTCGGCCCCTACATTAGCACCCCTAAACCCTAAAACCAAACTCTCAGTTTCTCACCCTGTTCACATTTCAGAAAACACCCATAGACACCCTCAAACACCGATCCAACACCCCCCTAACACAACAACCACTCCCCCCTCAAAAAAGGGTTTAGGGTTTGGAACCCCAAAACCCGAAAACGAAAAGCGAAGGCTTTGTCTTTGCCTGCGAGGGTTTAAGCTTTGGCTCTCGAGGTTCTTCGAGTGTAGGGTTATACTTGGCTGACTTCTGAACCCCTCCTAAAAGTTAAACTTTTTAGCACCCCTGTTATAGTTGATCTAGAAACCCAAAAAGTTAAAGTCCTAAGAGCCAACCAGAAGAACGCCAAGTATATTTAAGCGAGACCTAGAGAGTATGAGTACGCCCTCTAGCAACCCAGGGAGCCCTGTACCTCCTTAAGTCAGGCGTAGTGCTGAAATCCTCATATTAAGAAGCACTTTCTATTGAAGGAAGGTTCTCCCTAAACCCTAAACCTTAAACCCTGAACCCTAAATTCTAAACCCTGAACCCCAAGCCCTGAACCCTAAACCCTAAACCCTAAACCCTAAACCACCAAACCCTAAACCCTAAACCCTAAACCCTGAACCCTGAGCCCTAAACCCCAAAGCCTAAAGCCCTAAACCCTAAACCCTTAAAGCAGCGGTGTCCTTCTCCTTTCGCCCGGCCTGCGCCGGCCAGGCAAAGCACCGCGGCTGCCGGCATTCCTGGGTGCCGCTGAACCATTTTGGGATTTAGGGTTAGAGGTTTAGGGTTTAGGGTTTAGGGTTTAGGGTTTGGGGTCTAGGATTTAGGGTTTAGGGGGTGCAGGGTTTAGGGGTTTAGGGTTGAAAGTATAGGTTTAAATTTAGGGTTTGGGGTTTAGGAGTTTAGGATTTGGGGTTTGAGGTATAGGGTTTACGGTTGAAAGTATAGGATGTAGGGTTTAGGGTTTGGGGTATAGGATTTGGGGTTTAAGGGTTCAGGGTTCAGGGTTTAGGGTTTGGGGTTTAGGGTTATAGGATTTAGGGTTTGGGGTATTTAAGGGTTTAGGGTTGAAAGTATAGGATTTAGGGTTTAGGGTTTGGGGTATACGGTCTAGGGTTTAAGGGTTTAGGGTTGAAAGTATAGGATTCAGGGTTTAGGGTTTAGTGTTTTGGAGTTTAGAGTTTGGGGTATAGGGTTTAGGGTTTAAGGGTTTAGGGTTGAAAGTATAGGATATAGGATATAGGGTCCAGGATTTGGGGTTTAAGGGTTTAGAGTTCAGGGTTTGGGGTTTGGGGTTTAGGGTTAGATGTTTTTTGGGTTTAGGGTTTGGGGTTTAGGGGCTTAGGGTTCAGGGTTTAGGGTTTGGGGTTTAGGGTTTAGGGTTAGAGGTTTTGGGTTTAGGGTTCAGGGTTTATGGTTCAGGGTTTAGGGTTCAGGGTTTCGGGCTGAGGGATTGCATTATAAAACTCTTAAAGTCTAAAGACAACTCTCCAAGGAACTCTCTAAACCCAGTTCAAGACAGGGACCCTTAAGACCTCCCCAAAAACCTAAACCCTAAATCCCTAAACACTGCACCTAA